TTGCAATTTCTTGCTTTTGAACTGCTAGGTTGGCAGGAGCTGGAACTAGAGACGGGAGCTCACTCCGTCATGCGGCACCCGGGTCTCCAACTGCTGAACTACCAACCTTCCACAGCCTGCAGTTCAGCGTCTTAACCACTTGAGCCACCGCAGCTCCTCCCTGACTTATATACAGTCCTCTTAAAGAAACGCGCACAACATCACCCTTTTTTCTCAATCCATAACATAGTCCTTCATCCAAAGAGGCAGTCCTCTCATTCTTCCTTTCTCCTCTGTTTCAACAACTGGTGGTACTTCTTGAGATAATGACGATGACGGTAATGGTGTCTCTTGAGATGCATCTGGATGCACACTTTTGGGAGACATTGGGAAGAGTGTGCCTTGCACACCAACGTCTCATGCCTCGAATAAACCTTTGTTGGTCTTAAAGGTGCCACCAGACTCGACATTTGTTCTGCTGCTTCAGGCCAGCCCCGCTGCCCACCTCTTCAGCCACTTCAGTCAATCGCTTAATCAACCCATCTCTCTCACTCGCGCGCGCGCACACACGCAGGCGCACACCCCTTTCATACAGATTGGCCCGCGACTTTTCTAGGGGAGGGGCAAGGGCTGGGGAACGCCCCCCCCCCTCTCCGGCGGCGCTTTCCTCCTCGCTCTCCGGCTGGGAAGGCAGGCAGGCAGGCGCGCCTCCCCGCCCCCTCGCCCGGCAGCCCGCCGCGTGGGCCTCCTCCCCCGCGCTCCATTTAGAGCCAGGCGACCAACAGCCGGCCAAGCGCCCGCCTCCCGCAACACCCAGGCCCGGCCTCCCTCGCTCCTTCTCCACCCGGGGGGTCGCTGTCCACCCCCCCGTCTCCCCCCCCCCGCCTGGGATTGAGCCGGCCCCTCCCGCCTTCCCAGACTCCAGGAAGACGCAGAGGGGAATCGAGCTCCTTGGCCCCCCTCCCGGGCTGCAGGGGCAACAGTAACGATCGACGGGCGCACTTCTGGCCGCCGGCTGACGGGGTCCCCTGTCGAAGGCCGGGTCCCAGCGCCACCCCGCCTTGGCCCCGGCCGCTCCCGTCGCCGCCAGCCAGCCAGCCAGCCGGCCTGCCTGCTTGCCTGCCTGCCTGCGGGCGCTCGTGACCGCTCCAGCCGCGCCGGGGCCGGTTCCTAATGCAGCCGGGAAAGAGCCGCGGCTCCGGGAAAGGTTTCCTCGCTCCCTCTGTCTGGCCTCTCTCGGGCTCCCCTTGTTTGCCCGGCCAGAATGGCCCCGCCCGGATGCGAGCTGCCTGCCGGTGGGTCTGCGCGCCGTTCCGGAGGTGTTCAGTCCCAGATCGGAGCTCCGCGGGGACTGACGTCTGAGTACACAGAGGGGGGCTCGGACGGCCATTTGCATCCATTATTCAACGGGGCCCATTTAAGTCATCGATCTCCTCTCCTCTCCGCGGTCTCCCTCTTCTAATTCTGTGCTCCATCATCGGTTCTGGCCATCCATCATCATTTCCTTCTTTCTGACCCAGGCAAACGCCTATCGGTCGCCTCTTGCCTCGCAATACCTTTTTGTTTTGTTTTTTCTCTCTCTCTCGCTTCCTTTCCCCCAGTTCTCCCCTTCCTTCCTTCCTTCCCCTCTTTCTCTCTCTTCCTCTCTCGCTTCAGCCGAGCTGATTCTGCCCCCGGACTTCAGCTTTCCAGTTCTTCCCTTTGACGAACCAGCCCCAATCTTGGCTAGTCAGAAGGATATCTAAGGATTTGGGGGGGTTTTTTTTTGAGTTGAAAATGCTTTGACCCCGGCTGGTGAAGGAGCCAGAAATCCCCCACCACCACCATCCATTCCTTGGCGGGTTCTTTTTACACGAGGGGGTTTTGCTTGGAGGGTGGGGGGGGCTCTCTTTTAAATGAGACTAGTTTGACTAGTCAGTGCAAGAATATCTGATATGGACTGATGAGGACGGTTAGACCTTAACTGCAAAGGCATCGTTGTCGTGCTTCCGTCAAGCCAAGCCGTTCTCATTGTGGGCAGGGATGGATTCCCATGGCTTTAGGGTGTCCTGCAGCTCGTCCGTGTCCCCGTCCCTCGATTTCATCCCTGGCTACCCTGGGCGGCGGCGGCGGCCTCTTCTCTGGGTTCCTTCTCGGAGCCTGCCGGCACCCGCACACGATTTAACCCCCACGACGACGGCAAGGACAAGACCGTTATCGACTGACTTATTTACCTGTTACTGATCACTGTTTTTGCAACCACCAGAGTCATAAAGAGCAAAGGGGTCTCTGTTACCTGCTGCTCCAGGGGGCGAACTCGAGGACCTTTGGGAACTGCAACAGGGCGACCTTGGGCCAGTGACAGGCTCTCCGCCTCACCTACCTCACAGGGTTGGTGTGTTGAGGACAAAAGGCAGGAGAGGAGAATGAGGCGAGCCGCTTTGGGTCTCCACTGGGGTGAAAGACGGGGTGTAAATAGAGGGGGGGGGGTTATAACAAAATCTGGCGTTTCGTGATCTGCAGAGCTTATTATATCTTTAGAAGCTCAACATACACCCTAAACAGCTCTCATCGGAGCAGCCTTATAGAAATCCTGGTCAAACAAACAAACAACTTCAGATTGTTGTCCCGGGGTGAACAGAACCGTCTCCAGGCCTGGGGCGGGGAGAGGCATATCCCGCAGGGCGGGTTGGCCAGACGGTCTCTTATTTGACCATTAAGGACCTCGGCGGCGCCCGGCTCCCCCCGACACCATTTGTTGCTGGGCTTCTTCAGCCCCCCCCGGGGGGGGGGGAGTGCCGCCTTTGATTTATGGCCTGCTCCGCCCGGCTCTTGCTCACGCATCGCATTTGGCGTGCCGAGGTCCTGGAGGGATTCCCCGGAGGCGACTTCCAGGGTTTCCGGGGCGGGTGTGGGTCAGCACCCTGCCACAGGCCGCGCCCCTCTCCCCCTCTTCACTCGGAATGGCCAGAAGGGGACTGGGGCTGGCAAACGCCGGGGGAGGGGGAGGAGGGGAGGGACCGGCATTTCCTCCAGCCGGGAAGAGGCGGTTGCTGGTTACTCTCTCTTTCCAAAGACCCCGGGATGCTATAAATAGT